TAGTGATCGAACCCACGACCTCCTGCATACCAGGCAAGGTAGCTGACATCTTGCTACTGACGATGCCTGCTGCTGTATATTTGGAGTCTGCGTCTCTCTCTCTCTCTCTCCCCATGGTCGTGTGGATTTTTCTCCGGGTCCTCCGGGTTTTGACCCTCCACGTTTAAAATCAACGTCACCACACGTTTAGAGCATTTGGCGGCCGCAATCAATTTCCGCACGGTGATGAAGATGACGATGATGATGATATCAGCCAATTCGTTGAGCTACCATTTGTGATAGCAACGTCGCATCTGATAAAAAAGCAACGTATGTCAGTGGACTTTACCTGTTCTGATAAAATAGTTTAGTTTCATGCGTATAACAGTTTAATTTTATTTACCTCGTGTGTATCGTGTGTTGTTATTGTCGTCGTAACGTTCTGACCACGTGCCCCCCCCCCCCCTTTACAAGACATCTGTGAACAAAGAGCTTTTTAGCTCATCAGATTCCTCTTGCAGTATCAATATTCTGATCTCCATATATATAAAAGGTAAAGTTGTGAATGTGTGTGTCCGTTCAAAATGTTTAGCGTACTTCCCGACATGCAACAAACTTGAAATTTGCCATGTGGGTACTTTCCAGACTGTACACCATGCAACAATTATTAAAATACATTTTTGTTTGTTTTTTAGGGGAGGGAGGGGAGCTCAATAATGCATTCATTTTTTGCACGGCAAGTGAGCTGTGACGTCAAATCTGTCACGTGACCCTCGCATGTGGAAGCGTCACGCATTGTAGTGTAGCGGTTAGCGCGCTGTCTGTGTGTGTGTCTGTGTGTGTATGTGTGTATATCTGTGTGTGTGTGTATCTGTGTGTGTATCTGTGTGTGTGTATCTGTGTGTGTATGTGTGTGTATCTGTGTGTGTATCTGTGTGTCTATGTGCGTGTATCTGTGTGTGTATGTGTGTGTATCTGTGTGTGTATCTGTGTGTCTATGTGCGTGTATCTGTGTGTGTATGTGTGTGTATCTGTGTGTGTATCTGTGTGTGTATCTGTGTGTTTATGTGCGTGTATCTGTGTGTGTATCTGTGTGTGTATGTGTGTGTATCTGTGTGTGTATCTGTGTGTGTATCTGTGTGTTTATGTGTGTGTATCTGTGTGTGTGTGTATCTGTGTGTGTCTATCTGTGTATCTGTGTGTGGGGGGGGGGAGAGCGGTAGTGTAGCGTTTAGCGCGCCGCACTACAAACCCGGCCGACCCGAGTTCCATTCCCGCTCACGGCCACCACCGGTGACGATTCTTTTCACCGGTCCTGGGCCTCCCCCTAGGTCGACTCAGCCTCAAAAAAGTAACTGCTGTGGTGTGTCAACATCGCCACTGGGGAGACAAAGGCGGTCGGCTGTGTATAATACCAAATCCCAGGCGAAGCCGGGTAGAGTACAGCTCGTTATCTATATAATGGAGTTTTGAGTTTTTTTACATTATGAGACCTCCTTTGCCAGTAACAAGATATATAGTAATAGGTTTTACCCCTTTTAACTGGCACAAAAACTGACACCTTTATTATACAAGGCATCGTGTTTGCAATAACGTCGTTCCTGCCACTATAATAAAGTATTCGTTGACCGCGTAAAATTACTCGTCGGGTGTTTCCCACCCCCCCCCGCCCCCCCCCGGTAAAGTCGCGTGTGTAGAAACACAAAACGATCACGACGTTTCGGTCACAGCGTAAGCGGACCTTCATCAGGCGTCAAGAACACATCACGGAGGTAAATGCAAACAAAAAGATGAGGGACGAGAATTCAACCACGTAACACGATTTGTTTTTGGTCCCCTGGCTAGTGGTAAAGCCTTATTTTCTAATCGCTTATGCCCCCCAACAAGTACAGGAAATGACTGCTACTGTTGTTGTTGTTGTTATTATTATTCCACACGAACTTTGCCTTCGTGACCGGGAATTTACGCGTGAAGGAAACGACGCGAACGCACACCGCGCGTTTTCTCATTGAAAATATGCACATTTAAAAAAAAATAATTTTATCCTGGTCACAAACGCGAAGTTTGTGGGGAATAATCTTGATTTGAAGCTTTCCTTGACTGCAGGAATCCGTACAATCCATTTTGTGGGGAATAATAATAATAATAATCATCGCTACTTTGTGCACTTTTGATAGCATAAGCAATAAGAAAATAACACTTTACTACCCGGGCACAAAGATCGTGTTACAGTGTAACGTGAGCGTCCACCCACGTCCGGCTGCTATCGATGGCTTCTGGAATAGCTACGAAGCAGCTGAGTTGGGCCCTGAGCTGGTGACGATTCATTTTGGTTTGGCATCAGCAGCATCGTTCGGAGTCTGCGTCTCTCCGATCATCGCGGTGGGCTAGATGTTGACGACCTCGCCTGGTACGCAGGAGGTCGTGGGGTCGATCCCCCCCCCCCACCACCCATTCAACTCCCTCACCACGTGGCCCCCTCATCAGATCGCTCCCTCACCACGTCTCTCGCTCACCAGATCACTCCCTCACCACGTCTCCCGCTCACCAGATTACTCCCTCACCACGTCTCCCGCTCACTAGATCACTCCCTCACCACGTCTCCCGCTCACCAGATCACTCCCTCACCACGTCTCCCGCTCACCAGATTACTCCCTCACCACGTCTCCCGCTCACCAGATCACTCCCTCACCACGTCTCCCGCTCACCAGTTCACTCCCTCACCACGTCTCCCGCTCACTAGATCACTCCCTCACCACGTCTCCTCACCAGATCACTCCCTCACCACGTCTCCCGCTCACCAGATCACTCCCTCACCACGTCGCCTCCTCACCAGATCACTCCCTCACCACGTCTCCCGCTCACCAGATCACTCCCTCACCACGTCTCCCGCTCACCAGATCACTCCCTCACCACGTCTCCCGCTCACCAGATCACTCCCTCACCACGTCTCCCGCTCACCAGATCACTCCCTCACCACGTCTCCCGTTCACCAGATCACTCCCTCACCACGTCTCCCGCTCACCAGATCACTCCCTCACCACGTCTCCCGCTCACCAGATCACTCCCTCACCACGTCTCCTCACCAGATCACTGCCTCACCACGTGGCCCCCTGACCAGATTACTCCCTCACCACGTCTCCCGCTCACCAGATCACTCCCTCACCACGTCTCCTCACCAGATCACTCCCTCACCACGTCTCCCGCTCACCAGATCACTCCCTCACCACGTCGCCTCCTCACCAGATCACTCCCTCACCACGTCTCCCGCTCACCAGATCACTCCCTCACCAGATCACTCCCTCACCACGTCTCCCGCTCACCAGATCACTCCCTCACCACGTCTCCCGCTCACCAGATCACTCCCTCACCAGATCACTCCCTCACCACGTCTCCCGCTCACCAGATCACTCCCTCACCACGTCTCCTCACCAGATCATTCCCTCACCACGTGGCCCCCTGACCAGATCACTCCCTTACCACGTCGCCTCCTCACCAGATCACTCCCTCACCACGTCTCCCGCTCACCAGATCACTCCCTCACCAGATCACTCCCTCACCACGTCTCCCGCTCACCAGATCACTCCCTCACCAGATCACTCCCTCACCACGTCTCCCGCTCACCAGATCACTCCCTCACCAGATCACTCCCTCACCACGTCTCCCGCTCACCAGATCACTCCCTCACCACGTCTCCCGCTCACCAGATCACTCCCTCACCACGTCTCCTCCTCACCAGATCACTCCCTCACCACGTCTCCCGCTCACCAGATCACTCCCTCACCACGTCTCCCGCTCACCAGATCACTCCCTCACCACGTCTCCCGCTCACCAGATCACTCCCTCACCACGTCTCCTCACCAGATCACTCCCTCACCACGTCTCCCGCTCACCAGATCACTCCCTCACCACGTCTCCTCACCAGATCACTCCCTCGCCACGTCTCCCGCTCACCAGATCACTCCCTCGCCACGTCTCCCGCTCACCAGATCACTCCCTCACGTCTCCCGCTCACCAGATCACTCCCTCGCCACGTCTCCCGCTCACCAGATCACTCCCTCACCACGTCTCCTCACCAGATCACTCCCTCACCACGTCTCCTCACCAGATCACTCAATCACCACGTCTCCTCCTCACCAGATCACTCCCTCACCACGTCTCCCGCTCACCAGATCACTCAATCACCACGTCTCCTCCTCACCAGATCACTCCCTCACCACGTCTCCCGCTCACCAGATCACTCCCTCACCACGTCTCCTCACCAGATCACTCCCTCACCACGTCTCCCGCTCACCAGATCACTCAATCACCACGTCTCCTCCTCACCAGATCACTCCCTCACCACGTCTCCCGCTCACCAGATCACTCAATCACCACGTCTCCTCCTCACCAGATCACTCCCTCACCACGTCTCCCGCTCACCAGATCACTCCCTCACCACGTCTCCTCCTCACCAGATCACTCCCTCACCGTCTCCCGCTCACCAGATCACTCAATCACCACGTCTCCTCCTCACCAGATCACTCCCTCACCACGTCTCCCGCTCACCAGATTACTCAATCACCACGTCTCCTCCTCACCAGATCACTCCCTCACCACGTCTCCCGCTCACCAGATCACTCCCTCACCACGTCTCCTCCTCACCAGATCACTCACCCGCCAACTCACCAACCCGCCCCCTCACCAACCAGCCCCCTCATCCGCTCCCTCACCAACCCACCCACCTGACCCCTCACCCGCTCACCACACCACCCACCTGACCCCTCACCCGCCTCCCACTCACCAACCCCCTCACCCACTCCCCACTCACCAACCCCCTCACCACTCACCAACCCCCTCACCACTCACCAACCCCCTCACCACTCACCAACCCCCTCACCACTCACCAACCCCCTCACCACTCACCAACCCCCTCACCACTCACCAACCCCCTCACCACTCACCAACCCCCCTCACCACTCACCAACCCCCTCACCACTCACCAACCCCCCTCACCACTCACCAACCCCCTCACCACTCACCACGTCTCCTGGTTACTGAACTTCTTGGTCACCACCTTGCCCAGCTCGAGTCCGAGGCGGTCCGCCACGCGCTGCGAGAGGTCGGGGTGCGACGAGCCGCTGAACACTTTGATGTTGGGCATGGCTGCCGATGCTGTTGTTGTTGTTGTTGACGATGCTGCTGTTGTTGTTGTTGTTGACGATAACGCAGCGGTCAAATCAGTAGCGGCTGACGCAGCAGCTGCTACTGCTGCTGCTGCGAAATAGCGGCGGCGTTCTGGAGATGCGGCGGTGTGCGTGAGGAGACGGCGGCGATGCGACGAGGTGGAGGATGAGGAGGTGGAGGAGGATGAGGAGGCGATGGAGTCGCGGTACGGGTATTGGACCGGTCCAAGGCGTTTTCGGCGGGCGAAGGAGGCCGTGGTTGTAGGCCGGGTTGGAGACGAGGCGAGGGTGGTGGTGGTGAGGGCTTGGGAGTTAAATGGAGCGCGTTGGTTGCGGGTTGCGGGTTTGGGGGTGTTGTGAGGGTGGCTGAGGGGAAGTGGGTGGTGAGGCTGTAAAATGGCGGGAAAAGAGAAACGGGAGTCTGGGGACGCCGCCTCCGCTGCTGCTGCTGCTGTGCGGGGCGCGCGTGGCGTGGTGAGTGAGAGGGGGGGAGGGGTCTGTGGGGCGAGCACGTGCCGCCCGGAAACGGAAGGGGCGGGCGCAGCGCGTGCGTAGTGGGTGGGGGAGGGGTGTTGTGAGGGGAGGGGTGAGTGGGGGAGGGGACGGTGAGGCGAGCGCGTGCCGCCCGGAAACGGAAGGGGCGGGCGCAGCGCGTGCGTAAGTGGGTGGGGGGGGGAGGTGTTGTGAGGGGAGGGGTGAGTGGGGGAGGGGTCGGTGAGGCGAGCGCGTGCCGCCCGGAAACGGAAGGGGTTGGGCGGAGCGCGTGGGAAGTTGGGGGGGGGCGCGAGCACGTGCGGCACGGAAACGGAAGGGGCGGGCGCAGCGCGAGGTGGGGGGGGGGAAGTAAAGTGGGTGGGGTTTGAAGTTGGGAGGTGGCGGGGGGATTGATGGGCGGGGGGGGGAGGAGGCGGGGATTGATAGGGAGGAGGAGGGGCTTGAGGGAGATTGGGGGAGGGGCTTGATGTGGAATTGGCGGGGATTGATAGAGAGGGGGAGGGGCTTGAGGGAGATTAGGGGTGGGGGCTTGAGGTGGAAGTGGCGGGGATTGACGTGAGGGGCGGGGATTGATAGAGAGGGGGAGGGGCTTGAGGGAGATTGGGGGAGGGGCTTGAGGTGGAAGTGGCGGGGATTTACGTGAGGGGCGGGGATTCATAGAGAGGGGGGAGGGGCTTGAGAGAGATTGGGGGAGGGGCTTGAGGTGCAAATGGCAAGGATTGATAGAGAGGGGGAGGGGCTTGAGGGAGATTGGAGGAGGGGCTTGAGGTGGAAGTGGCGGGGATTGACGTGAGGGGCGGGGATTCATAGAGAGGGGGGAGGGGCTTGAGGGAGATTGGGGGAGGGGCTTTGAGGTGGAAGTGGTGGGGATTGATGGGAGGGGCGGGGATTGATGGGGGAGGGGCGGGGATTGATGGGGGAGGGGCGGGGCGCCACGGTGGCTCTGAGATGTTAATCCTCCAAATACTCTAAACGTGTTCTCTCCTTCTCTTTGTTTCTTCCGCTAAAGTCACGAAGATATAGAACAACATAAATTAAATCACGACGTTTCGGGCGCAACACAAGCGTCCGTGGCTTTACCGAAATAACCAAAAAGTATGTATCCCTGCTGTCAAGAAAACCTAAAATCCAGAGTGTTCTCTACAGACATACTCTTTGGTTTTATTGGGTAAAGTCACGTAGGTAAAAAATAAAATAACAAAAATCACGACGTTTCGGCCACAACACAAGCGGCCTTCATCAGGTGAAGGGACGAGACTGTCTGGAGGACAGCGCTGGAGTGAAAAAAGCCACGCTCAGATCACGACCTTTAAGCTGTGTGAGAAGAAACAAAGCGCCTTGACAAAGGAATTAGCATAGAATTTAGCATTGAAATGGCTGAGTGATTAGCTTGTGACTGGTCACAGAAATGGCTATTGTTCTCTACAGACCCATAGAGACCCACACTCATAGAGACCCACACTCATAGAGACCCACACCCATAGAGACCCATAGTCATAGAGACCCACACCCATAAAGACCCACACTCATAGAGACCCATACTCATAGAGACCCACACTCATAGAGACCCATAGTCATAGAGACCCACACTCATAGAGACCCATAGTCATAGAGACCCATAGTCACAGAGACCCATAGTCATAGAGACCCATAGTCACAGAGACCCATAGTCATAGAGACCAACACTCATAGAGACCCACACCCATAGAGACCCACACTCATAGAGACCCATACTCATAGAGACCCATACTCATAGAGACCCACACTCAGCGAGACCCATACTCATAGAGACCCACACTCATAGAGACCCATACTCATAGAGACCCACACTCATAGAGACCCATACTCATAGAGACCCACACTCATAGAGACCCATACTCATAGACACCAATACTCATAGAGACCCATACTCATAGAGACCCACACTCATAGAGACCCACAGTCATAGAGACCCACACTCATAGAGACCCACCCCCATAGAGACCCACACTCATAGAGACCCACACTCATAGAGACCCACACTCATAGAGACCCACACTCAGAGACCCCACTCATAGAGACCCACACCCATAGAGACCCACACTCATAGAGACCCACACTCATAGAGACCCACACTCATAGAGACCCACACTCATAGAGACCCACACTCAGAGACCCCACTCATAGAGACCCACAGTTATAGAGACCCACACTCATAGAGACCCACACTCATAGAGACCCACACTCATAGAGACCCCACTCATAGAGACCCACACTCATAGAGACCCACAGAGACCCACACTGACCCACACTCATAGAAACCCACACTCATAGAGACCCACACTCATAGAGACCTACACTCATAGAGACTCACACTCACAGAGACCCATACTCATAGAGACCCACACTCATAGAGACCCACACCCATAGAGACCCACACTCATAGAAACCCACACTCATAGAGACCCACACTCATAGAGACCCACAACTCATAGAGACCCACACGCAGAGAGACCCACACTCATAGAGACCCACAACTCATAGAGACCCACACTCATAGAGACCCACACTCATAGAGACCCACAGTCATAGAGACCCATACTCATAGAGACCCACACTCATAGAGACCCATACTCATAGAGACCCACACTCATAGAGACCCACACCCATAGAGACCCACACTCATAGAAACCCACACTCATAGAGACCCACACTCATAGAGACCCACAGTCATAGAGACCCATACTCATAGAGACCCATACTCATAGAGACCCACACTCATAGAGACCCATACCCATAGAGACCCATACTGATAGAGACCCACACTCATAGAGACCCACACCCATAGAGACCCACACCCAGAGACCCACACTCATAGAGACCCACAGTCATAGAGACCCACACTCATAGAGACCCACACTCATAGAGACCCATAGTCATAGAGACCCACACTCATAGAGACCCACACCCATAGAGACCCACACCCATAGAGACCCACACTCATAGAGACCCACACTCATAGAGACCCACACTCATAGCGACCTGTACTCAGAGACCCATATAGACCCATATATAGACCCATAAAGAGAAAAACATGTCTTGCTATATGACGTCTTGCTTGGGGTACGACGCCTTGCTAAATAGAACTTGTCTGGGTCGGGACGAGTCGCCGCGTCTCCGCGTAGACCCCGTCCACGACTGAGACGAAGCGCCGCTCCTCAGCCTGCCTGTAGATCTCGTTCAGTGCACAACCCTTGCTGGAACTCTCTGTGAATTTTCACGTGGTTTTTTTGTCGTCATTTTAATGTACGCATGCATTTTAGTAACAAGTAGCGTCTACATTATGTTATACAACCACATTAATGTATAAAATGCCACGTAAAATATAATGTCTTACACTCTGGAACGGATTAATTCCTTTCCCTTGATGTCTTATGGGAACAATTCGTTTGGTAGACGTCACTTTTCGGTACGAGTCTTCCCCCTTCTGGAACGAATTAACGACGTGTACCGAAGTACCACTGTACACAGCAGCAGGCATCGTCAGGGGCGGGATCGAACTCACGACCTCCTGCGTACCAGGCGAGGTAGTCAACATCTCATAGCCACCGTGATGATGATGATGATGAGAGAGAGACGCAGACTCCAAATATACAGCAGCAGCAGCAGGCATCGTCAGGGGCGGGATCGAACCCACGACCTCCTACGTACCAGACCAGGTAGTCAACATCTCAACATCGAACCCACGACCTCCTGCGTACCAGGCGAGGTAGTCAACATCTCAACATCGAACCCACAACCTCCTGCGTACCAGGGGAGGTAGTCAATATCTCAACATCGAACCCACGACCTCCTGCGTACCAGGCGAGGTAGTCAACATCTCAACATCGAACCCACGACCGCCTGCGTACCAGGCGAGGTAGTCAACATCTCAACATCGAACCCACGACCTCCTGCGTACCAGGCGAGGTAGTCAACATCTCAACATCGAACCCACGACCTCCTGCGTACCAGACGAGGTAGTCAACATCTCAACATCGAACCCACAACCTCCTTCGTACCAGGCGAGGTAGTCAACATCTCAACATCGAACCCACGACCTCCTGCGTACCAGGCGAGGTAGTCAACATCTCAACATCGAACCCACGACCTCCTGCGTACCAGGCGAGGTAGTCAACATCTCAACATCGAACCCACGACCTCCTGCGTACCAGGCAAGGTAGTCAACATCTCAACATCGAACCCACGACCTCCTGCGTACCAGGCGAGGTAGTCAACATCTCAACATCGAACCCACGACCTCCTGCGTACCAGGCGAGGTGGTCAACATCTCAACATCGAACCCACGACCTCCTGCGTACCAGGCGAGGTAGTCAACATCTCCTAGCCACCGCGTCGCTGACGCGTGGCCAAGACAGTGGACAAAGGGGGAGGACGTCCACCGATTTACCCCACCACACGTGACCAACCTGCCTACCACCCTGCCTACCAACCTGCCTACCAACCTGCCTACCACCCTGCCTACCAACCTGCCTACCACCCTGCCTACCACCCTGCCTACCAACCTGCCTACCAACCTGCCTACCACCCTGCCTACCAACCTGCCTACCAACCTGCCAACCAACCTGCCTACCAACCTGCCTACCAACCTGCCTACCACCCTGCCTACCACCCTGCCTACCAACCTGCCTACCAACCTGCCTACCACCCTGCCTACCACCCTGCCTACCAACCTGCCTACCAACCTGCCTACCACCCTGCCTACCAACCTGCCTACCAACCTGCCTACCAACCTGCCTACCACCCTGCCTACCAACCTGCCTACCACCCTGCCTACCAACCTGCCTACCAACCTGCCTACCACCCTGCCTACCACCCTGCCTACCAACCTGCCTACCACCCTGCCTACCAACCTGCCTACCACCCTGCCTACCAACCTGCCTACCAACTTGCCTACCACCCTGCCTACCACCCTGCCTACCACCCTGCCTACCAACCTGCCTACCACCCTGCCTACCACCCTGCCTACCAACCTGCCTACCACCCTGCCTACCAACCTGCCTACCAACCTGCCTACCACCCTGCCTACCACCCTGCCTACCAACCTGCCTACCACCCTGCCTACCAACCTGCCTACCAACCTGCCTACCACCCTGCCTACCACACTGCCTACCAACCTGCCTACCAACCTGCCTACCACCGTTTATTGGCTCAACTGCTGGCGCCGGCGAGACTCCCGGGTCTGGACGGCAACGTCCGGTGTGCCGTCCCGATTTGGGACTCTGCCGTGGCGGCATTCCCGGCGTTGCGGGGACTCTCATGAGCGACACGCGAAGACAAGTCAAGGTTTCCAGTACTTTTTATTCGACCTTCGTCACACGCAGCTCTCTCCCCCCTTCTTCATCCACAGCTCTCATCTCTTCATCCACAGCTACCGCCATCACACACAGCTCCCCCCTTCATCCACAGCTACCTCCATCACAGACAGCTCTCTCCTTCATCCACAGCTCTCTCCTTCATTCGCAGCTCCCTCCTTCATCCGCAGCTCCCTCCTTCATCTGCAGCTCCCTCCTTCACCCACAGCTCTCTCCTTCATCCACAGCTACCTCCATTACACACAGCTCTCTCTCCTTCATCCACAGCTCTCTCCTTCATCCACAGCTCCCTCCTTCATCCGCAGCTCTCTCCTTCATCCACATTTACCTCCATCACACACAGCTCTCTCCTTCATCCACAGCTCTCTCCTTCATCCGCAGCTCCCTCCTTCATCCGCAGCTCCCTCCTTCATCCGCAGCTCTCTCCTTCATCCACAGCTCTCTCCTTCATCCACAGCTACCTCCATTACACACAGCTCTCTCTCCTTCATCCACAGCTCTCTCCTTCATCCACAGCTCTCTCCTTCATCCACAGCTCCCTCCTTCATCCGCAGCTCTCTCCTTCATCCACATTTACCTCCATCACACACAGCTCTCTCCTTCATCCACAGCTCTCTCCTTCATCCACAGCTCTCTCCTTCATCCACAGCTCTCTCCTTCATCCACAGCTCTCTCCTTCACACACAGCTCTCTCCTTCATCCACAGCTCTCTCTCCGTCATCCACAGCTCTCTCCTTCACCCACATCTCTCTCCTTCATCCACAGCTCCCTCCTTCACACACAGCTCTCTCCTTCATCCACAGCTCCCTCCTTCATCCACAGCTCTCTCCTTCATCCACAGCTCTCTCCTTCATCCACAGCTCCCTCCTTCATCCACAGCTCCCTCCTTCACATACAGCTCTCTTCTTCATCCACAGCTCTCTCCTTCATCCACAGCTCCCTCCTTCATCCACAGCTCTCTCCTTAATCCACAGCTCTCTCCTTCATCCACAGCTCTCTCTCCGTCATCCACAGCTCTCTCCTTCATCCACAGCTCCCTCCTTCATCTACAGCTCTCTCCTTCACACACAGCTCTCTCCTTCATCCACAGCTCTCTCCATCACACACAGCTCCCTCCTTCATCCACAGCTCTCTCCTCTTCATCCACAGCTCTCTCCATCGCACACAGCTCCCTCTTTCTGCTGGATGAATGCCTTCCCACACCGTGGTACTGGCCAGCCCATGTTTGGAGGTAATAATAATCATACGTACGTAGATTTAATTGCTTTAAAAAAAAAAATACCAGTGCGATTTCAAACGCGACTTCATGATACGGAGTCAAATCAAGTAGGCTCGGGGTGCCCATCCAGAGCTCTGAATTATTCCTACCCCTGTCGGAGCCTCGATATGGATGTAAAATATCGGACCGTCTTAGGCCGTGTGCTCTCTCGTCCCCTCCCCCCCTCCCCCCCCCCCACCGCTAGGCCTCTCCAATCTCTGCGCTCTGAAGGAGGCCCCAGTACCCGAAACGTCATCCGTTGTTCCCCTTTTAAGGCCACGTGCTGTGCGTGCCAGTGCGGCAAGGTGTGTGCAAGTGTGCCATGTGTGCCGGTGCGGTGCTGTGTGTGTGTGTGTGTCTGTGTGTGTGTACGTGTTAGTGCGGTGCCGTGTGTGTGTGTGTGCCAGTGCGTTGCCGTGTGTGTGTGCCAGTGCTTTGCTGTGTGTGTGTGTGCATGCCAGTGCGTTGCTGTGTGTGTGTGTGCGTGCCAGTGCGTTGCTGTGTGTGTGTGTGCGTGCGTTGCCGTGTGTGTGTGTGTGCGTGCGTTGCCGTGTGTGTGTGTGCGTGCGTTGCCGTGTGTGTGTGTGCGTGTGTTGCCGTGTGTGTGTGTGTGTGCCAGTGCGTTGCCCTGTGTGTGTGTGTGCGTGCCAGTGCGTTGCCGTGTGTGTGTGCCAGTGCGTTGCCGTGTGTGTGTGTGTGTGCGTGTCAGTGCGTTGCTGTGTGTGTGTGTGTGCTTGCCAGTGCGTTGCCGTGTGTGTGTGTGTGTGCCAGTGCGTTGCCGTGCGTGTGTGTGCCAGTGCGTTGCCATGTGTCTGTGCTTGCCAGTGCGTTGCCGTGTGTGTGTGTGTGCGTGTCAGTGCGTTGCCGTGCGTGTGTGTGTGTGCCAGTGCGTTGCCGTGTGTGTGTGTGTGCTTGCCAGTGCGTTGCCGTGTGTGTGTGTGCCAGTGCGTTGCCGTGTGTGTGTGTGTGTGTGCCAGTGCGTTGCCATGTGTCTGTGCTTGCCAGTGCGTTGCCGTGTGTGTGTGTGCGTGCCAGTGCGTTGCCGTGTGTGTATTCTTCAGGCCTGCTCGATAGCCACGAGGTAGACAATGAGGAAGACCAAGTTCCCAGCTACGTACACGGCCAGCACAGTCTTCTTGAACGTGTGTCCCTGCAACATACAACCACACATAGACACATAGACACACACACATACACCACACACAGACACACACGTACACACACACAGACACACACACACATCACACACAGACACACACAACAACAACAACCGCCATTCGCCACTAAGTGGCGGTGACGTCACCACGACGCTTGTGCCAGGCTATGTGCACCCTGAGGCCACGTGAAGTGTCGAACGCCCGCTGGCAGGAGGTCACGGGGCAGACTCAGGTGCCACGGGTTGACTGACTGAGATGACTGGCTGATGCACCACATGTGCCCCCTACTGTGCCAACCTGCTGTGCTTTAGCCACCCGGCGCTCCGCTCGTTGTTCTGAGCGTCGCTCCTCCGCCCTCCGTTGTTGTTGGAGGGCGACTGCCTCCAACTGCCCAGTAGCATCCTTCACGAGCCTCCTCCACAGAGGCCGATCTTGACACCGCTGGTACCAGTCATCGGCAAGTCCACTCAGCTCCACGTCCTCCTGTACCACATCACTCCATCTCTTCTGTAGCCCGTGCCGCGCCCACTTAGCCCCCTCGATCCGGCCGAACAAAAGCTGTTTCGGCATGCGGTGGCTGGACATGCGGGCTACATGACCCAGCCATCGCAGCTTTGCCCGCCAGAGGAGCTCACCGATGGGACCTTGCCCAGATCTTTCAAGGATTTGTGAGCTCCTCACACAATACAGTCAGGTTAAACCCAGGATAGATCGTAGGCAGGCCAGACTAAATGTTTCTAACCGGCGAAGATGTTCCATTAGGGGGGTCCACGTTTCGCAAGCGTAGAGAAGGGAGGGAATGACCGTGGCCGAGAAGACCTGAAACTTAGTGCGGAGCTACAGACCAGGTAGCTTCCACACAGCGTTACGCAACCGAAAAGAGTGAGACCACTGCTGTTAAACTGGAGCCAGTCATATGCACACTGCCCAGGTATGGGAAACTCTCCACTCTCTCCACAACTGCCCCATCACCGATTGGGAGTTGTGGGGGTGGAGTGTCCGATGGTATAAAATACCCAGGCAGGTGCTTAGTTTTGGTGGGGCTGATGGTAAAGCCCCACCTCTTAGTGGCACGCTCCAGTCTCAGCAGCAGCATCTCCAACTCCTCCTCTGACTGAGCAGCTATTACCAAATCATCAGCATACATAACGTGGTTGAGCAATAGGGAGCCATCCCTTGGCTGCACCCGGGCATCGATCAGCCTCCCATTATATCTGTACCATATGGAGATTCCCCCGGTACAGCTATTGAAGGCTTCACAAACTACGTGGTCAAAATAGATGTTAAATAATGTGGGAGCCAGAGGACATCCCTGTCGCACCCCAAGGTGTACAAAGAATGGCTCTGACTCCCGGCCACGTAGTTTTACCCGGGCCCGCTCACCATCATGAAGGTCCTTAATGATCGTGAGCAGAGGGTCAGGTACTCCAAAAGCACGAAGAACAACCCAGAGCCCAGGCCTACTGATGGTATCATAGGCCTTGACCAGGTCAATAAAGCAGAGATGTAGGTCTTGTTGGAATTCCCTACACCTCTGCTGTAGCAGACGGACAGAAAATATGGCATCTGTGCAGGACCGCCCTTTCCTGAAACCGCATTGGGGCTCCGCAAGCCTCTCCTCAGCGTGCCTGGCAAGGCGATGTTGAAGAATAATCCTTGCCAGGACCTTTCCCGGCACACTGAGGAGTGAGATGCCCCTCTAGTTGTTACAGTCTGTGCGGTCCCCCTTCTTAAAAAGGGGGACCACCAGGGCATCCTTCCAATCCTGCAGAACCCGTCCAGTGGTCCAGACCGTTGTTATGATGTCATATAGGGCAGTCTGTGCACAAACGCCACCCTCCCTCAGCATTTTGCTTGGGAGATCATCTGTGCCCGCTGCCTTTCCTGGTCTCAGACTCCGGATCGCCTTCAGTACTTCCTCAACAGATGGCACCTCAGCCAGCCACTCACAGGGGGTGACTCCTTTCAATATTTGAGGCACCGCAGCCACAGCAGGGTCATCCTCACTTTGTGCCACGATGTTTTCCTGGCTGAGGGATTTTCCCTCCCCCAGGACCTCACAGAAATGCTCAGCAAATCTGCAAACCTGTTCCTGGGGGTGGGAGATTGGATCACCGTTTTTTCCCCTAATAATGGTAATAGGTGTGGTGCTGCAGGTTACTTTTTTGATGGAGTTAAATAGAGATTTGTGATCACGGGCCACTGAGGCAGACTCCATCTCCTCAGCAACCCGCGACCACCACCCATCCTTGCAGCGCCTCACGGCTCTCTGAACCTCCGAGCGAAGGCTGCGGTAAGCCTCCTCATTCTCTGACGTGGGATTCTGTAGCCGATGACAGTGGGCCTTTCGCTTTTTCTCAACCATCCTGAACACCTCCTCTGTCAGCCATGGTCTCTGGGGAGGTCTGGACCGCGTACCCAAAGCAGCCTTTGCAGCTGCATGAATCACAGTCCTAAACCTCGCCCATTTACCCTCGACATCAGGAGGAGTCGGGGACGATGCCAATCCCAGCCGCAAGCGATGATGAAATTCTCGCTTGCAACTTTCATCAGATAACTGAGACCAGGCCACTTTAGGTTGGAATGGGGTCCTGGGTGTACACCCACCACCGGAGTGGAAGAATGGCAGGCGCATCTTACAAATGACTAGTCGATGGTCAGAAGGCAGATCAGCTCCACGGTAGGTCCTGGTGTCAATGACATGGGCTCGCATCCGCTGGTCCGTCACTATGTAGTCCAGCAGATGTTCTTGCTTGGACCCGGCATGCATCCATGATGTTGTGTGGATGCGCCGATGCCAGAACAGCGTGTTGGTAATTACAAGCCCATGGACTGCACAAAAACCTAGCAGCCTCCTACCGTTGTTATTGAGCTGATCTGGCCCATGCCCTCCAATCAGTCCAGACCAGGTGCCAGTATCATGACCAACTCGGGCATTGAAGTCACCCAACATGATGACTCTATCCCGAGGGGACACTTTAGCCAGCACCTGTGACAGGAGGTCATAGAAGGCATCTGACTCATCGGCTTTGCCTGCATCCCTCCACGGATGTTCATCTTCGGTGGGGGCATAAGTAACCACGACCACTATTCCTCGCCTCCGGTTGATGGGAAGGCGAGCCCAAAGTAGCCTGGGGCTTACAGCTTCCCACACCTCACCGCCACGCTCCCACGCCCCCTTCATTCTTTTGTTCAAAGAAGAGCCACACCCTGTTGTTTGGCAGTCTGCTGCCCCGAGTAGAGAACTGTCAACCCCTCATGGTGGCAGGAGCCAGAGCCGGTCCACCGGACCTCCTGAATGCCACAGAGATCCAGGCGATACCGGTCCAGCTCCCGACAGAGGAGTGGCAGCCTCTCCTCCGCAGTGAGCGTTCGAACATTCCACGTGGCCACCCGTAGAGGCTTTTCGTTGTTTCTGGAGGAGCCCCGAGGGTAGATATTCAATCTCCTGGCTTCGCCAATTGGGGTTTGGCCAGGAGACGTCATAGACGCCTGGCCCCCCGGGGCCTCCGGCACAAGCTTATTTGTTACATATTTCAGTTTAACTCGTGGTTTCGTGGTAATTAATTGAAGGTGGAGGGGTTGCCAGCCCCTCGCACCCATCCAGAGCCCCCGTTTAGCCCCTGTGGTGGACACACATGCCATGAGGGGAGGAGCCAATCAAAATTGGATCTCCCCCCACAGCACTGTCCACGACAGAGTTGCCCGTCCGGCACCGCGAGGAGGTAGGGGGTTGTTTTGCCGGACACACACACCACACAGACACACACAGACACACACACAGAACACACACAGACACACAAAGACACACAGACACAGGGTACCACCCCACCCTGTGTCACCCCCACCCTGTGTCACCCCCACCCTCTGTCACCCCCACCCTGTGTCACCCCCACCCTGTGTCACCCCCACCCTGTGTCACCCCCACCCTGTGTCACCCCCACCCTGTGTCACCCCCACCCAGTGTCACCCCCACCCTGTGTCACCCCCACCCTGTGTCACCCCCACCCTGTGTCACCCCCACCCTGTGTCACCCCCACCCTGTGTCACCCCCACCCTGTGTCACCCCCACCCTGTGTCACCCACGGTGCCGCTGCGTTCGCTTTGTTCCTTCGCCACGGTGCCGGCCACGGTGCCGGCCACACCACGCAGCTCCATCCCCACCGACGAACCTGGGGCAGGGGTGGGCAAAGACGCGTCCACGCACACACGCACACGCATGTGTGTGTGTGTCTGTGTGTGTCTGTTTGTGTGTCTGTGTGCGTCAGTGTGTGTGTGTCTGTATGTGTGTCTGTGTGCGTCAGTGTGTGTGTATGTGTGTCTGTGTGTATGTGTGTGTGTCTGTGTGTGTCTGCGTGTGTCAGTGTGTGTGTCAGTGTGTGTGTGTCCGTATGTGTGTCTGTGTGTGTGTGTCTGTATGTTTGTCTGTGTGTGTCAGTGTGTCTGTGTGTATGTGTGTGTGTCTGTTTGTGTCTGTTTGTGTCAGTGTGTGTGTATGTGTGTGTCTGTGTGTTGAGTCCGGCAAAACAACCCCCTACCTCCTCGCGGTGCCGGACGGGCAACTCTGTCGTGGACAGTGCTGTGGGGGGAGTTCCAATTTTGATTGGCTCCTCCCCTCATGGCATATGTGTCCACCACAGGGGCTAAACGGGGGCTCTGGACGGGTGCGAGGGGCTGGTAACCCCTCCACCTTCAATTAATTACCACAAAACCACGAATTAAAGTGAAATATGTAACAACTAAGCTTGTGCCGGAGGCCCCGGGGGGCCAGGCGTCTATGACGTCTCCTGGCCAAACCCCAATTGGCGGAGCCAGGAGATTGAATACCTACCCTCGGGGCTACTCCAGAAACAACGAAAAGCCACTACGGGTGGCCACGTGGAATGTTCGAACGCTCACTGCAGAGGAGAGGCTGCCACTCCTCTGTCGGGAGCTGGACCGGTACCGCCTGGATCTATGCGGCATTCAGGAGGTCCGGTGGACCGGCTCTGGCTCCTGCCACCATGAGGGGTGGACAGTCCTCTACTCGGGGCAGCAGACTGCCAAACAACAGGGTGTGGGTCTTCTTTTGAACAAAAGAATGAAGGGGGCGTGGGAGCGTGGCGGTGAGGTGTGGGAAGCTGTAAGCCCCAGGCTACTTTGAGCTCGCCTTCCCATCAACCGGAGGCGAGGAATGGTGGTCGTGGTTACTTATGCCCCCACCGAAGATGAACATCCGTGGAGGGATGCAGGCAAAGCCGATGAGTCAGATGCCTTCTATGACCTCCTGTCACAGGTGCTGGCTAAAGTGGCCCCTCGGGATAGAGTCATCATGTTGGGTGACTTCAATGCCCGAGTTGGTCATGATACTGGCACCTGGTCTGGAGTGATTGGAGGGCATGGGCCAGATCAGCTCAATAACAACGGTAGGAGGCTGCTAGATTTTTGTGCAGCCCATGGGCTTGTAATTACCAACACGCTGTTCCGGCATCGGCGCATCCACACAACATCATGGATGCATGCCGGGTCCAAGCAAGAACATCTGCTGGACTACATAGTGACGGACCAGCGAATGCGAGCCCATGTCCTTGACACCAGGACCTACCGTGGAGCTGATCTGCCCCCTGACCATCGACTAGTCATCTGTAAGATGCGCCTGCCATTCTTCCACTCCGGTGGTGGGTGTACACCCAGGACCCCATTCCAACCTAAAGTGGCCTGGTCTCAGTTATCTGATGAAAGTTGCAAGCGAGAATTTCATCATCGCTTGCGGCTGGGATTGGCATCGTCCCCGACTCCTCCTGATGTCGAGGGTAAATGGGCGAGGTTTAGGACTGTGACTCATGCAGCTGCAATGGCTGCTTTGGGTACGCGGTCCAGACCTCCCCAGACACCCTGGATGACAGAGGAGTTGTTCAGGATGGTTGAGAAAAAGCGACAGGCCCACTGTCATCGGCTACAGAATCCCACGTCAGAGAATGAGGAGGCTTACCGCAGCCTTCGCTCGGAGGTTCGGAGAGCCGTGAGGCGCTGCAAGGATGGGTGGTGGTCGCGGGTTGCTGAGGAGATGGAGTCTGCCTCAGTGGCCCGTGATCACAAATCGCTATTTAACTCCATCAAAAAAGTAACCTGCAGCGCCACACCTATTACCATCATTAGGGGAAAAAACGGTGATCCAATTTCCGACCCCCAGGAACAGGTTCGCAGATTTGCTGAGCATTTCTGTGAGGTCCTGGGGGAGGGAAAATCCCACAGCCAGGAAAACATCGTGGCACAAAGTGAGGATGACCCTGCTGAGGCTGCGGTGCCTCAAATATTGGATGAAGTCACCCCCTGTGAGTGGCTGGCTGAGGTGCCATCTGCTGAGGAAGTATTGAAGGCGATCCGGAGTCTGAGACCAGGAAAGGCAGCGGGCAGAGATGATCTCCCAAGCGAAATGCTGAGGGAGGGTGGCGTTTGTGCACAGACTGCCCTATATGACATCATAACAACAGTCTGGACCACTGGACGGGTTCCGCAGGATTGGAAGGATGCCCTGGTGGTCCCCCTTTTTAAGAAGGGGGACCGCACAGACTGTAACAACTACAGGGGCATCTCACTCCTCAGTGTGCCGGGAAAGGTCCTGGCAAGGATTATTCAGCATCGCCTTGCCAGGCACGCTGAGGAGAGGCTTGCGGAGCCCCAATGCGGTTTCAGGAAAGGGCGGTCCTGCACAGATGCCATATTTTCTGTCCGTCTGCTACAGCAGAGGTGTAGGGAATTCCAACAAGACCTACATCTCTGCTTTATTGACCTGGTCAAGGCCTATGATACCATCAGTAGGCCTGGGCTCTGGGTCGTTCTTCGTGCTTTTGGAGTACCTGACCCTCTGCTCACGATCATTAAGGACCTTCATGATGGTGAGCGGGCCCGGGTAAAACTACGTGGCCGGGAGTCAGAGCCATTCCCTGTACACCTTGGGGTGCGACAGGGATGTCCTCTGGCTCCCACATTATTTAACATCTATTTTGACCACGTAGTTCGTGAAGCCTTCAATAGCTGTACCGGGGGAATCTCCATATGGTACAGATATAATGGGAGGCTAATCGATGCCCGGGTGCGGTCAAGGGATGGCTCCCTATTGCTCAACCACGTTATGTATGCTGATGACTTGGTAATAGCTGCTCAGTCAGAGGAGGAGTTGGAGACGCTGCTGCTGAGACTGGAGCGTGCCACTAAGAGGTGGGGCCTTACCATCAGCCCCACCAAAACTAAGCACCTGCCTGGGTATTTTGTACCATCGGACACTCCACCCCCACAACTCCCAATCGGTGATGGGGCAGTTGTGGAGAGAGTGGAGAGTTTCCCATACCTGGGCAGTGTGCTTATGACTGGCTCCAGTTTAACAGCAGAGGTCTCACTCCGAATCAGTCGAGCGGCAATATCTTTTCATCGGTTGCGTAACGCTGTGTGGAAGCTACCTGGTCTGTCGCTCCGCACTAAGCTTCAGGTCTTCTCGGCCACGGTCATTCCCTCCCTTCTCTACGCTTGCGAAACGTGGACCCCCCTAATGGAACATCTTCGCCGGTTAGAAACATTTAGGCTGACCTGCCTACGATCCATCCTGGGTTTAACCAGACTGGATTGTGTGAGGAGCTCACAAATCCTTGAAAGATCTGGGCAGGGTCCCATCGGTGAGCTCCTCCGGCAGGCAAGGCTGCGATGGCTGGGTCATGTAGCCCGCATGCCCAGCCACCGCATGCCGAAACAGCTTTTGTTTGGCCGGATTGAGGGGGCTAAGCGGGCGCGGCACGGGCTAGAGAAGAGATGGAGTGATGTGGTACAGGAGGACGTGGAGCTGAGTGGACTTGCCGATGACTGGTACCAGCGGTGTCAAGATCGGCCTCTGTGGAGGAGGCTCGTGAAGGATGCTACTGGGCAGTTGGAGGCAGTCGCCCTCCAACAACAACGGAGGGCGGAGGAGCGACGCTCACAACAGCGAGCGGAGCGCCGGGTGGCTAAAGCACAGCAGGTTGGCACAGTAGGGGGCACAGGTGGTGCATCAGCCAGTCATCTCAGTCAGTCGACCCGTGGCACCTGGGTCTGCCCCGTGACCTCCTGCCAGCGGGCGTTCGACACTTCACGTGGCCTCAGGGTGCACATAGCCTGGCACAAGCGTCGTGGTGACGTCACCGCCACTTAGTGGCGAATGGCGGTTGTTGTTGTTGTTGTTGTCAGTGTGTGTGTGTCTGTGTGTGTGTCTGTGTGTGTGTCTGTGTGCGTCAGTGTGTGTGTGTGTCTGTGTGTATGTGTGTGTGTCTGTTTGTGTCTGCGTGTGTCAGTGTGTGTGTGTATGTGTGTGTCTGGGTGTGTGTCAGTGTGTGTGTGTCTGTGTGTGTGTCTATATGTTTGTCTGTGTGTGTCAGTGTGTGTGTGTGTCAGTGTGTGTGTGTCTGTGTGGTCCCCCTCTTTAAGAAGGGGGACCGCACAGACTGTAACACCTACAGGGGCATCTCACTCCTCAGTGTGCCGGGAAAGGTCCTGGCAAGGATTATTCAACATCGCCTTGCCAGGCACGCTGAGGAGAGGCTTGCGGAGCCCCAATGCAGTTTCAGGAAAGGGCGGTCCTGCACAGATGCCATATTTTCTGTCCATCTGCTACAGCAGAGGTGTAGGGAATTCCAACAAGACCTACATCTCTGCTTTATTGACCTGGTCAAGGCCTATGATACCATCAGTAGGCCTGGGCTCTGGGTTGTTCTTCGTGCTTTTGGAGTCCCTGACCCTCTGCTCACGGTCATTAAGGACCTTCATGATGGTGAGCGGGCCCGGGTAAAACTACGTGGCCGGGAGTCAGAGCCATTCCCTGTACACCTTGGGTGCGACAGGGATGTCCTCTGGCTCCCACATTATTTAACATCTATTTTGACCACGTAGTTTGTGAAGCCTTCAATAGCTGTACCGGGGGAATCTCCATATGGTACAGATATAATGAGAGGCTGATCAATGCCCAGGTGCGGTCAAGGGATGGCTCCCTATTGCTCAACCACGTTATGTATGCTGATGATTTGGTAATAGCTGCTCATTCAGAGGAGGAGTTGGAGACGCTGCTGTTGAGACTGGAGCGTGCCACTAAGAGGTGGGGCCTTACCATCAGCCCCACCAAAACTAAGCACCTGCCTGGGTATTTTGTACCATTGGACACTCCACCCCCACAACTCCCAATCGGTGATGGGGCAGTTGTGGAGAGAGTGGAGAGTTTCCCATACCTGGGCAGTGGGCTTATGACCGGCTCCAGTTTAACAGTAGAGGTCTCACTCCGAATCAGTCGAGCGGCAATATCTTTTCATCGGTTGCGTAACGCTGTGTGGAAGCTACCTGGTCTGTCGCTCCACACTAAGCTTCAGGTCTTCTCGGCCACGGTCATTCCCTCCCTTCTCTACGCTTGCGAAACGTGGACCCCCCTAATGGAACATCTTCGCCGGTTAGAAACATTTAGGCTGGCCTGCCTACGATCCATCCAGGGGTTAACCAGGCTGGATTTGTGTGAGGAACTCACAAACCCTTGAAAGATCTGGGCAAGGTCCCATCAGTGAGCTCCTCCGGCAGGCAAGGCTGCGATGGCTGGGTCATGTAGCCCGCATGCCCAGCCACCGCATGCCGAAACAGCTTTTGTTCGGCCGGATCGAGTGATGTGGTACAGGAGGACGTGGAGCTGAGTGAACTTGCCGATGACTGGTACCAGCGGTGTCAAGATCGGCCTCTGTGGAGGAGGCTCGTGAAGGACGCTACTGGGCAGTTGGAGGCAGTCGCCCTCCAACAACAACGGAGGGCGGGGGAGCAACGCTCACAACAACGAGCGGAGCGCCGGGTGGTTAAAGCACAGCAGGTTGGCACAGTAGGGGGCACAGGTGGTGCATCAGCCAGTCATCTCAGTCAGTCAACCCGTGGCACCTGGGTCTGCCCCGTGACCTCCTGCCAGCGGGCGTTCGACACTTCACGTGGCCTCAGGGTGCACATAGCCTGGCACAAGCGTCGAGGCGACGTCACCGCCACTTAGTGGCGAATGGCGGTTGTTGTTGTTGTATGTATTTGTGTGTGTAAGTGTGTGTGTGTGTGTGTGGGGAGCGGTAGTGTAGCGGTTAGCGCGCTGCGCTATGAACCTGGCGACCCGGGTTCGATTCCCGCTCACGGCCAACACCAGTGACGATTATCTGAACCGGTCCCGGGCCTCCTCTAGGTCGACTCAGCCTCAAATGAGTACCTGGTGCGGTGTGTAAACATCGCCACTAGGGAGACAAAGGCGGTCGGGCGTGGTGCTGGCCACCCACCCCCTCGTGTACCGTTCTGGCCTTCATAGGTGCTCGCTAACAGCACTTGCCCCTACAGTCTGTTACAGGCTATATGGGGGATCTTTATCTTTGTCTTTATGTGTGTGTGTAGGTGTGTGTGTAGGTGTGTGTAGGTGTGTGTGTAAGTGTGTGTGTGTAGGTGTGTGTGTGTGTGTAGGTGTGTGTGTGTCCACCACCCCGACCCACCTGCACGACAGCCCCTGTGTGCATGTAGGTGTGTGTGTGTTTAGGTGTGTGTGTGTAGGTCTGTGTGTGTAGGTGTGTGTGTAGGTGTGTGTGTAGGTGTGTGTGTGTAGGTGTGTGTGTAGGTGTGTATGTGTAGGTGTGTGTGTAGGTGTGTGTGTAGGTGTGTGTGTGTGTAGGTGTGTGTAGGTGTGTGTAGGTGTGTGTGTGTAGGTGTGTGTGTGTAGGTGTGTGTGTAGGTGTGTGTAGGTGTGTGTGTAGGTGTGTGTGTGTAGGTGTGTGTGTGTGTAGGTGTGTAGGTGTATGTGTGTGTAGGTGTGTGTGTAGGTGTATGTGTGTGTAGGTGTGTGTGTAGGTGTGTGTGTAGGTTTGTGTGTGTGTAGGTGTGTGTGTAGGTGTGTGTGTAGGTGTGTGTGTAGGTGTGTGTGTAGGTGTGTGTAGGTGTGTGTGTGTAGGTGTGTGTGTGTGTAGGTGTGTGTGTGTAGGTGTGTGTGTGTGTAGGTGTGTGTGTAGGTGTGTAGGTGTGTGTGTGTAGGTGTGTGTGTGTGTGTGTAGGTGTGTGTGTAGGTGTGTGTGTAGGTGTGTGTGTGTGTTGGTGTGTAGGTGTGTGTGTGTGTAGGTGTGTGTGTGTGTAGGTGTGTGTATGTAGGTGTGTCTGTATGTGTGTGTGTGTAGGTGTGTGTAGGTGTGTGTGTAGGTGTGTGTGTAGGTGTGTGTGTTGGTGTGTAGGTGTGTGTGTGTGTAGGTGTGTGTGTGTGTGTGTAGGTGTGTGTGTATGTGTGTGTGTATGTAGGTGTGTGTGTATGTGTGTATGTAGGTGTGTGTGTATGTGTGTGTGTGTAGTTGTGTGTAGGTGTGTGTGTGTAGGTGTGTGTGTGTAGGTGTGTAGGTGTGTGTAGGTGTGTGTGTAGGTGTGTAGGTGTGTGTAGGTGTGTGTGTGTGTAGGTGTGTGTGTAGGTGTGTGTGTAGGTGTGTGTAGGTGTGTGTAGGTGTGTGTGTGTGTATGTGTGTAGGTGTGTAGGTGTGTGTAGGTGTGTGTGTAGGTGTGTGTGTAGGTGTGTGTGTGTAGGTGTGTGTGTGTCTAGGTGTGTGTGTAGGT